TTCCAACTGCTGACCTTGCTGGTGACGGGTCCAAGGGGGAAACCACTAGGCCACCAGGGCTCCTTTGGCACCAAGCAAGCAAGGTGTAAATGGTAGTCACTACTTGCTAGTATTATTTGGCTTTGTGTTTTAAACACGGTGACTCAGGATCATCACTCGGCGGAGACAAACGCTGGTGTCTGATCCTCAGTGAGGAATGTTGGACAGTACGGACAGAATCAAGAGACTGGGTGTCTCTGGCGGGCACTGGCCAGCTCCTGAAAGCAGATGGGCCACTCACTCACTTTGCTTGGAAGATGCCCAGAGGCCACTGCCCAATCGCATCACTCTTGGGTAGGGGTGGAGGTGGGTCTAGGAGCAGGGGGGCAGGGGCACTGTGCTATGGCTCCTTAGTTGGCATCCATCTTCATCTCCGATTACTGATCTGTCAACATTCTTGAGGGGGCTCATGGGAAAAATCCATGGTAGTTTCATTCCATTGGTCCTCAAAGATGCTGCGAGGCCCGCCCCTATTTGCTGTGGTCACTGAAGTCCACTAGTGGCATCTTCCTCATTCAGAATGTCTTTTCTTCCGTGGTGTGTTTTAGTTCTCCATGACTTATCAAGGTCGTGTATGAATGCCCTTGCCTTTGCATTGAGAAAACTCTCTGCCTTGGGCCAGGCACCCTCTCTCTGCACTCTGCAATATGTCTGACTCCTGGATGGATGCCAGGAAGCCAGGAGTGGTCAGCAGTTTTCACTGGGAATCATGGGACATGACGGGGTGGGAGGGAAGGTAGGCTTGAGGCTGAGCTGAGCTGGTGGGGGCAAGCAGCCCTCACAGGGTCTTCGGTGATGTCCTTAGGAGGCTAGGGCAGTACATATGCAGGAGCAAAGGCAGTGGGGGTGGGGAGCATGAGTCCTTTTGGACGCCCAGCGACCCCAGGGGACAGTAGAACTGCCTGCAGGGGTCTCTTTCTTTTGCGATGGGCATTTTATGGTTGTTTTGAGATCAGTACAGAGATAGGATGGGCGAGTTGTACACAATTCTTAAGGCGTGTGTCCAAGTCCTAAAAGGGCATGTCCATAGGATTCTTTTCTCCATTCCTGTGACTTTCCAGCTTTCCATTTGAAGGCACTTTTACAAAAGAGGCTTATCAAGTGCCATTCTCTTCACACGTTGATAAGCTGTCATGTCTCAGGTCCCACTAATTCGCAGTGTAATGTCACACACACACAACACACTCAAATGCCCCACCCTCGGCAGCCCGTCACAACATGATCAGGAAAACTGGACTGCCACCACCCAGGGGGCGACAGAAGGCACACTGTGCCGACAGGAAAGCCACGAGGGCAGAATGGATTTCAGACACAATTCTATTTATAAACAACAACATGGAAACAAAACTTTAATGTCCAAGTCACAGAAATGCATGACGGGGGTACCAAATGGCCATGAAGGATGTTTTGTATTAGGGATACAGAACCCCCCCAGCCCACCCCCCATGCTGTGGAATGTTATATTGATACCCAGACAGTCAGATGTTCCCAACATTCAACATCTCACTCTTTTCTGGTTGTACCAAAAAACAAACAACCAGTAAATGATTTCACATCTTAAAAAAAAAAAAAAGGGGATAACGTGAGATTTCCTTCTTAAAAAATGTTTCTAGAGCTACTGAAAACTTGCATTTATGAAATAGTTGATGAAAATATTCCTCTGGATTATACAAGAAGGGAGATCACGGGGTCCACTAAAAAGACATGGTGGGTAAACACTAATCAGACTTGGCTTCTTTCTCCTGCTCCTCAGGGGCTGGATGGGCTCTCCTCTGTCTGTCCTCTCTTTTCGGCTGGTGGAGCTCTCCTTTCTTGGCTAAGTTATTTCAGCCTGTTTGCCCTTGGCTCTTTTCCCTTTGGCTTCTACTGTTTTGTCCAAGGTTTATTTAGCCTTTCCTGCTGCCTTTTTTTTTTGCAGGCGCAGGTTTCCCTGGCAACCTCCTCTCGGGCTCCTCCTTCACTGTCCCTTTGGTGGGTTGAGTTGACCTGCCCTTTGGGCATCTTGGCTGTGGGGAGGGCACTTGCCGGATGCCCATGGATCTCAGAGCACTGAGGGCTTTCTCAAGGCTGGTTGCCTGGCTGCTGTGGTTTTCTCCACTGTAATCTTTATGGGATTGGATTGCCAGGTCTGTTGCCCAAGCAGCTGCTGGGCACGTTCAAACAACTGCCCTGTTAGTGAGCCCTGACCCACAAGCCACCAGGGCTCCAGGAGCAAAGGCGTGGGCCCGGCAGTACATTTTCTGAAGCAGCACCTTCCCAGGCCTGAAGACGCTCCAGCACTTCCCAGGGAGTTACCCAAGGATTCAAAACCAACGCACTGCGCCAGTAATACTGACTCACGGTGACCCCCGTTGTGGGTTTCAAGACTGTAACCATTTACAGGAGTAGAAAGCCCAGTCTTTCTCCTAAGGAGCTGCTCGTGGCTTCAAACTCCCAACCACGTGGATCTGAGCCTAACATGTACCCACTATACCACACGGCTCCAGTCAAAGATTGGGATGGTTTAAAAGGGAAGTTTTGTAAGGGTGGAGAAGCCGCCACCCAAACAGGACACCCATCTTTGCATCCATTCAGGGGCTTGGGACAAAAGGAGAGTCAAATGTTCTGA